AATAACTGGAGTATTTTTACCACGTATCACATATTCTGAAAGATGTGGAATGATGTTTTTTTTTGATACGGAAGCCCAATACTGATTTCTGACCAGCCACCTGCCAAGAATGACCAACAAACCATGCAAACAGCCAGGAAAAATATGTACAATTTTTAACTGGTATCGTTCTGAGTCGCTGTTTCTCGTACTTTCCTCCGAAAATATCGGCCCCCATAGAGTCCTAAAAAGATATTCTGTTCAAAAAGTAACCAGAAACTGATGAGATATTTAGGAATCTGTCCCTATGCTTCGCATACTTCATATTGTCCGAAACAGTTCCCTAGTCACTGGCGAGGCGCACCTTCCTGAACTTAACTTCCTGAACTTCGAGGGCCAGTATGTCATAAATTCTAGCTACTGGGATTCCAAACAGTCTTACTACACAGCATGAAATAGTGCAAAAAAGCATGAAATAGTGCAAAAACTCCAGGCGCACTACCGATGTGATCATGCATTTTGGCACTATTTCATGCTGTGTAGTAAGACTGCTCGGAGTCCAGCTAGAACAGCTAGAATTTTTGACATACTGGCCCTCGAAGTTCGGGAAGTTAATTGTGCAGCTATGGGATGTCGGCTTCTGTGGAAGTTGCTGGTGCGTGAAAAAGACCGCAAATGAAGAACCTGCAACAGCACCACCAAGTGCAGCAAATATTCCCGCAACTGTGGAACCAGCAGCAATACCAACAGGTCCACCCAGTGCTGCACCACCCACTGCTGCAGCTACCAACGGATATTTGGCTGTTTGCGCAGCTTGGGCTTTCTTCAGATCTCGGTGAGCCGAATGAACATCGAGGTGGGCCCTTTCGATGTGCTCCTCGATACTGTCAACAACATCGTGCTGAGCCTGCAAACAAGGGACAGTGTGTATGTTGAAAATAATGAGACGATAAGAATGATAAGTAGCGGCCATCAGAAGATCGAATCTTAGGTGGACGGCATTTTTCTCTTCAACCTCACCTCTTACTTTTTCTACAATTTTTCTTCCACTTTCCTTTCTACTTTGTATGCGTTTTGTGCTGTGTAAAGCAGTACAAAACGCATATTATCACGGGGTTGCCTGTGTGTGTGTCCGCAGCAACTTGTCCGCAATTTTCAACTCGGGAACCACAAAAGCTAGGAAGCTG